GGCCCCCATGACTTCCATAGTATGAAAAACAAAATACACTACTGGAGTCAATGGGGACCAGAAACTTTCTAGTTACGAACATTCTTCAAAATATCTTCTTTTATGTTGAGGAGAACAGAGAAATTCATACAGGTTTAGAACAACGTGAGGCTGAGTAAATGATGACAGTATTTTCATTTTTGGGTGAACTATCCCTTTAAAATCTCATCATATTAGGATCTCGTATAGCCTATTAACGTTCATTTAAGACACAAATGACTGTGTTGACGTGGAGACATTGACACATAACTGTGCATTTGAACGTTTAAGCACAAGGCGCGAAAAATAACTCAAGACTGGCGCTGTAGAGCAGGTGCGCGCCACGCGAATCATGCCGTGACCGTCTTAACGCGCGCATTTGCCAAAATGAATTCTGCCCCACTGCTTAATGTCCCTGAACAGTTAAATTTGTTTTTAAATCACAATGCTTAAAATGCGTTTAAATGAAAAGCTTAACCTACATCATGCCGCGCAAAACGATTGATATATTTCTACCGGTTTATCTCTCAACCCATAAGCGAATATACTTTGTTCAAGCACAAAAAGCAATATACGTCCATCAAGTTCTTAACTTGTTAATCAAACTAACCTAAAATCTGTGGGGACGATGACGCTGTGATTTTATCTGCTCCATGTTCCCGGTCCACGACGTGACGTTTTAATCTCTAACGGTAATGCATGGAATATATGGAAAAGCTCCACTAAATAATAGCGCTAATAAGTGAGGAGAGGGTTCTTCGGCAATCGGCGCTATCGATGACCAGTCAATCTACTCCACAGCCAATCACGGGCCCCATCCTTGTCCGGGCCCCGGGGCTTCAGCCCCGCCTATCCCAGTGGTTAATGCGGCCCTGCCCATATACTACATCATATTGCTTTACTTTAATACTTTATTGTGGCAACAAAGCAGAGTTTACAAATTTGTGCATTAATCAGCAATCAATCCAGTCCATATAACAAAGACTAGCAAAGCAAGTATTTTTCTGTTAGTAGCATATTTCATAAGAGAACAGCTTGGCATGCTGAGGTTCTTCCAACTGCCGGCGAGGTACTGTGTACGGCAACTGGTCCTCTTGTCTTCAACAACTACTCTGCACTCTGTGCTCATTCATACAGGAAAGCAGAAAGAATATGATGTTAAAATTCAAATGTATTCACTTTCATTAGTAAAAATGAATATATATAAGCTCTGAGCATAACATTACAACCTTATCCACGCACTCAGGAACATTTTTGCATGGTCTTCTCTCTATTTGTTCTTCCAGATCCTCACATTTAACACGTGGCGTCCCTGTAAAAATAGTGCGGTCTTGGGATCTATGGGAGATAAAGAAAGCCAAAGAATATTTAAGATGATTGTGAAACAATGCACAACCTACAATGCAATAGAATTGCACAACTATATGATTTATTATAGACAAAGTCTTATTTCAATTAGTAGCATGAAATGTTTTTCTCCTACCTGTATGAAGAGATGTCAGCAACACACTTTATTTCTCTTATTTGTTTAGAGTCTGTCCCACAATCAGGTTTGCAATAACTCCACTCACTCCACTCTGACAAGACGCCATTCACTGAACACAGACAGAGAGTTATTTGTTACTTTACACCTACACCTACGATAGTTTGAAAAATCCTAATTTTGTCTGAAACTAGGAACAACCATCATCTAACATCATCATTCACAATATGTAGAGATTATACAATAAGTTTGAAGTGCACTAATCTTCCCGTGACACATTTTGATGCTAAACAATCAAAATGAGCATGCTTTGCATTTATGTAGCTTATGCTGTGTTTGAATATGCCTACAATACTATACAATAATACAACAATGCGAAAAACAGTCAGACAAAAGAGTAGTATGTCCAAATTCATAGTATTCAAAAAACGGTAGGCAAAAAGTACCTAAATGACCTACTACTTCTCTTGAGATTCTAAAGTGGGCATCCAATGGACACTTCACTGTGCCATGAAGCCACAGAAGAGGATTTGTGAATGGCAGTGAAGGCTGGTAAGTCACATGACAGTGACAACATGGTGGATGTAGTATGTCTGAATTTCATTCATACTACCCATATTCATACTATATAGAGCATAATTTTTTTTTTATGTTGTAAAGTAAGTTTTAAACCAAATGTATTGCCTAATAGATAGAATGCAATTTCGGACAGCTATGATTTTTCTTTGCACTCACTGTCACATTTATCAATTTCATAGCAGTTGTCATGTTGAACAATCTCTCCATCACATAAGTCTCCATTGTGTTGACTATCAACACAGAGTCTCTCTCTCCTTCGTTTTCCCTCCCTGTTTCTGCATGTGATATTTCTAGTGGAAGGTGGTTTACAATGACTCCACTCGCCCCATTCGGTCCACATCCCATTTACTGACAGAAAAAGACAAAGAGAAAAATGTTAAATGTTAAACAATCGATTTTGTTTGTTCGTTTGTTTAGATAAATCTTGCATTCTGTCAATACTTACATGGACAGTTGACAAGAATGATGCAGATACCAGTTTGTTGCTCTTCACCTCGACACTGTTTTCCACCATGTGCTGGTTTAGGAGAATCACAAATCCGTCTTTGAGTCTGCTGACCCACTCCACACGTCACAGAGCAGGACGTGGAACTTGTCCAAGCGCCCCAGTTTCCATTAACTGTGGAGCAGAGATATAAAGCTCTGGTTTCTAAAATCCTCTTGTATGTTTGGCTGTTTTATAGAAGAAAACAAAAGGCAGACCTGGGCAGAACGGTAGCCCGCTGCAAGGGCGGTTGTCTGTGTCGGAGCCCTCGCAGTCATTTCCACGTGGAACGGTAGATGGAGTAGGGTTGGTGCATGTCCTTTTACGAAGTTCTTTTTGAAGACTGTGTCCTTCATAAAGACAAGTAACTGGACATGGACCCCAACTTCCCCAACTGGACCAACCACCATGAGCTAGACGTCAAATGAGAGCATGTTCTTAATTTTCAGTATCTTCTGTAAGTAAAAAAAGAAAAGAAAACTATACTTACTCGGACAGATTATTTCAGTGGAGCAAGGGGTGGTATCTTCCTCTTCACCGCTACAGGAGCCCCCACATTGTGGAATGGGTTCAGAGCATGTTCTTTGCCTTTTTCTAATTCCATCGCCACATGTGACTGAACATATCTGCCATTTCCCCCACTCTGACCAGCCACCTTTCACTGAACAATATATATACAGAAACATGAGAAAGGACATAGAAACCTTTATGTTGAAATGTTACAATTAATTAATGTTCTTTTTACCTGGGCAGCATTGTTGTTTCACACATGGTTTAGTTTGAACCGTTCCCAGATTTTCAGGGTCTGTGCAATCGCCAATTCCGTGACACGATCGTCGCCTTTGACTGACTCCCTCTGTACAACTCACTGAGCACTCGCCCCAGGGAGTCCATTCAGACCATGCCGCCCGCCTGGAGGTCAACATTCAACATTCAAGATGTTTCTAAGTGATATGCTGTACGCATTTGATCTCATTAATTTCAGTTCAGCTAATTCAGTAGCCTCAAGAGTTAAATTATCTGAAATGTGAAATGGTGATTGGTGAAAGTTTTCACAAAAAAATGCATTACTATTTATAAAGGTTTCCACAAAAAAGACCATTAACATTGCATTATTTTAAAGTTGTGATTTAACGAAAGTAGCAACAGATCATCTCTGCCATATTGTGACGTACATCAGAATGTAACAGATTATAGAAAAAGAAAAAATGTAGGGTGGCGACTTGGTTCTATGCATCGGTTGATGATTGGATTTTGAGATGTGGGCATTATGGGCATGTCTGCATGTCATAAGCTTTAAGGAAAAAGTGTACTGTGTTACGAAATAGTAAATAGGAAGTAAATAGGAAATAGTTCTCCCATCTTAAAATTATCATTTGTTTAATAAACAATAATGTAGCTCAATGTGACATTTATCATAACAGGTTTTTGGACATGAACATTATAAGCATCACATCAACGAAGCTTACCCACAGAACCTACAAACGCCATCTGCTTCTTTGTAGCCATAGCTGGGGTTCAAGCAACAGGAGTTTTTTTCAACCTGGCCCAAAAGATCACCACATTTCCCAGTAGACAGGGTAAATGATGAAAAACACTCCACCATCTCCGAAACTTAAGAAAGAAACCAAATTAATGAAATAATAAAATACTTATTACACTTACTGCCTGATATGTGTCATGGCACAGATGACCAGGATGCATTAATATTAAATAAATTGCATTATTCAGTTGTTTCAGTAAAGATAACTTGAAAGTTGGTACAACAAGGTTTTGAGAAAAAGGTTGGTCAGCTAGCCATATTTTTGCTTAATATTCATTTAGATATGACTGAATAATTATATATTGTCATAAAACATTTCCTACCTGATTGCTGGACGTAAATCCCGAGGAGCACAATCCCCCACAAGATCAGATTCATGGCTGAATCAGTGACAGAAATGCTTGATTCTGAAAGTGGAAGTACTTGTAAATAAAATTACTGCAAATAAAAAGACTGTAAAATTATGACTAATCAAAACAAACAACTGAAACTGCAAACAAATGTGGGTGTGGGTTTTTGAGTATAGCTTAATATAAATGAATTGATAATACAAATTAAGGGTTCAGATTTTAAGTTCATACATTATGTATTCAATATTTTGACCCAATGTCAAATTTAGCCACTTACCTTACAAAATTCCCTATATTATGGCAGCTTAAGAGACTGTAATTGCGAGTGGTTTGTTTCACCCTGCCTCAACAGGGAATTGTAAAAACCTTAGAGAGCTGTTTATGAAAACAGGAATTATTAATTGTGAAAGAGGTTAACCAGCTTCCCTTATTCGAAAATGATTTTGCAGATTCATCAGAATTACTTGCTGGTTTGTGAAAGAATAAAATAGTTTCAGTTCCACTCCTTCAACAGTTCAGCGCAGTTGTTGAGCACAGTCACGTCCGGTCAAAGCTTTTCTCTAAATTCTTTCAAGTGTCGTAACCCACCAACACTCATATTACATTATTTCAGATAAAAGCGGCATAATACATGAAATCAAGTTTGAATGCAAAACAAACTTACCCGATCCGTCCAAGCTTGTGTGTGTGTGTGTGTGTGCGTGTGTGTGTGTGTGTGTTTTTTCTTTTCTTTTCCTTTTAGGGGTGGTGGTAGGGGGCGATCAGTACAAAAAAAAATCTCAACAAAAGACCTCCGCAGAACTCCATTTTTCCATTTTACATAAGGGTAAACAGCAAACTAATAATGTCAAAGTTCATTAGAAACCATCATTAAAAACATTCTGTCGTGTCAAAACTTTTGATCAAAAGTCAGTCGACTGGTAGCTTATACCAGCTTTTTTTCTTTTCTTTTTTTCTCAGAGATATACGTGTTACGGTTTTAACATGATTACTGCCAAATAAACATTCCTTGTTCATCCTTAAAATGAACGGTAACACTTTAGAATAATGGTCCGTTGATAACAAGTTGCTATGCAGGAAGTAATAGCCTAGGTAGTACTACATTAATACTTAACTTAATACTATTAACTAACAGAGAAGCAAGATTAACTAAGCAGTAAGTAGTAGCAAACTAACTTATTAAATTACTCATGTAGTACTACCTATTACTTCCTGCATAGTTACTTGTTAACAACGGACCATTATTCTAAAGTGTTACCAAATGAACGAATACTGAATGAACAAGCAGACAAGCACGCATGGACACAGGGCTGCCAACTTTTACTCATTCAGCTCATTCACTGTTCTCATTTTCTCATGCCACATGTCTGTTTTCTCACGCAGTGACAGTGACTTTTGTATGTATGAGTTCTTGTTTTTTTTGTTTTTTTTACAGTTAAGCAACTTCAGAGGAAGAAGTGTGCTGTTTTCCCAAACGTTTAATTGTAAATGTGATGTAGATTTTATACTGTTCAGAAGCAAGAAGTTAATATTAAGTGACTTACATTTTAGACACAGTATTGTCTGTTTTTGCTCTATATCACTAATGAAAAATCAAAATTAACCCACAGCAGAATTGTGGCTCATCTCCGAGCAACACAGGCGTTCGCTTCCTGAATTAATCAATATTTTGAACAAGCCAATGATTCAATTAGGCTACATTACCCATTCGTAAAATCATCAGTCACTTTGTTCCTGAATGAATCAGTCCTTTGAACTAATTTAATGATTCTATGACTCATTTAAGACAGTGGCTACTGGCGGTTTTAGTTTAATAGTTAAACATAATGAATCCCCGCCCCCATATTTTTTTCATATTCCTATGTTCAAAATTTTATATTTAAAACATTAATTTCATAACATTATTTATGAAATTATAATTGTTTTGAGTGCATTCACGCCACCATTGATCTGCATTAAACAGTCTGTGTAAATATATCTAATGCTACTTAAAATGTTTATTCAGAACATCTTAATAAGTGGCATTTCGCATTGCCATGTTGGCAGTGCATTAGCCGGCCCGGCACCGACAACAAACCACAGCCAAAAAAAGGAAAAAGTCAGCTACATGAAATGGCAGCTTAGTGGTTTTTCGAGCTGCATATTGCACAACCATATTTTTATGCATTGTGCAACCACATTTAGGTTCTTAGCAGTTATGCACTAAAATATCTATATAACTATGGTCATGTGCAGTGTTGGGAAGGTTTCTTTGGAAATGTAATAGGTTACAGATTACGAGTTACCCTAATTAAAATGTAATAAGTAATGTAACTATTTCAATTACTTTATTAAAGAAATGGAACTGATTACATTTGATTAATTTTTAAATTATTTTTCTAAATTTCTAATGTTTTCAACTGTTAGTCATATTCAAACATTTAAACCAGGCAGGGTTAACCTTACATAGTGTTCAACACCACAACCCCCAATTCCAGAAAAGTTGGGAAGTTTTGTAAAATGCAATCAAATCAAGAATCTGTGATTGGTTACTTCTCTTTAACTTTTATTTAATTTGAAAAAGATTTCCAAAGTTTTCACTGACCAACTTAAATGTATTTTGTAAATATAAACAAATTTTGATTTTGATGGCTGCAACACACTCCAAAAAAGTTGGGACAGAGGCAAAATAAAAGTGAAAAGGTTATAGAATATCCATTACAGAATATCACAGTAAGCAGGTGAATTGGTAATAGGTGAGTGTGTCATGTTTGGGTATAAAAGGAGCATCTCAGTCTTCCTCTTTGCATGCAAAGCTGGATTATGGCTCATCACTTTGTGCCAAATTTCACGAGAGAAGTTTCAAACAAATCAAAAATCACATTTCTCAATGCCAAATCACAAAGAATTTAGGTATTTCACCAACTACTATACATAATATTGTGAAAAGATTCAGGGAATCCAGAGAAATCTCAGTCTGTGTAGGGCAAGGCAGGAAACCTCAGCTGAGTGTGCATGACCTTTGAGCCCTCAGATGGCATTGGATTCAAAACCGTCATGCTGCGGTGTTAAATATAGCCACATGGGCTCAGGAGTACTTCGAAAAACCGCTGTCACTTAACACATCTGATGCTGCATCAATAATGCAACTTGAATCTGAGAAAACTATACATCAATTCTATGCAGTGATGCTGCCGGGTTCTCTGGGCCAGAGCTCATCTCAGATAGTCAAAAAGACAGTGGAAATGTGTGCTGTGGTCAAAAGAGTCCACATTTCAATTGGTTTCTGAGAAAAATGGATGTCGAGTTCTCAGTCCCAAAGACCAAAGGGACCATCCAGACTTTTACCAGCGACAGATGCGAAAGCAAACGTCTGTCATGGTATGGGGGTGCAGCAGAGCAAACGGCATGAGTGACCGGCATATTTGCAAAGGTAACATTGACATGGAGGCATATATTGAAATTGTACAGAGACATAAACTGCCATCAAGTCCTGCCTGCAGTTCAGATCTGTCTCCTTTTGAAAATGTATGGCCAGTCATGAAAAGGAGAATCAGACACTGACGATCACAGACTGCTGTGCATCAAGTCTTGTATCAAGCGAGACTGAATGAACATTTTGCTTGCAAAACAACAATTAGTAACCTCAATTCCCAAACAAATAAACACTGTAATTAAAAGGAAAGTTGATGCGACACAGTAATAAACTGTCCCAGCGTTTTTTGGAGTATGTTGCAGCCATCAAAACCAATATTTGTTTATATTTACAAAATAAAATTACGTTGGCCAGTGAAAACATTGGAAATGTTTTCTTTGTACTTTAGTCAATTAAATAAAGGTTAAAGAGAATGAACAAATAACATATTCTTGATTTTATGGCATTTCACAAAATGTCCCAACTTTTCTGGAATTGGGGTTGTAATTAGTCTGACCTTCATCACTTGAATTAAGATTATAATAATTTAATTTATTGACACAGCCACCACAAAATCAGACTTACTTTGAGATCATTCTGAGGTTAAATACAGATTTAAAATCATAACAAGAAATAGTTTAATAGCTATGATACTGTTTTTGAAATCAAATCTTTGCATAGCTTTGACAGGAGACACTGCAATCTAACAATGCCTGGGGAAAAAACTGTTCATTTAAAAAAAATAAAAAATAGGCCTATACATAAACCCAAATAGGAAATAACAAGTTTTCAAATGATCATGTGACACTGATGTCTCATATTTTAGAGCAGTCAATGCAATTTATGAAAGAAATCGATTAAGTGTGTGTGTGTGTGTGTGTGTACTGGTTTATATATCCTGGTGGGGACGTAAACCTGAATACAGACAGACTCGTGGGGACTCGTGTCACGGTGGGGACCTAAATTGAGGTCCCCACGGGTACAAAAGCTTATAAATCACACAGAATTAAGTTTTTTGGAAATCTAAAAATGCAGAAAGTTTCCTGTGAGGGGTAGGTTTAGGTGTAGGGTTGGTGTAGGGCAATAGAATATACGGTCTGTGCAGTAGAAAAACCATTACGCCTATGGGATGTCCCCACAAGGATAGCTGACCAGACGTGTGTGTGTGTGTGTGTGAAAAAATTCAGATGTAACCCCTTTGTAATCGTTAACATTGTCATAAGTAACTGTCATTTAATTACACATTTTTTCTCAGTAACTGTAACTGACTACAATTACATTTATTTTGTAATTAAATTACGTAATTCCTTTACATGTAGTTACTCCCCAACACTGGTCATGTGGAATCTGAAAGCGCCACAAATTTCTGCTGGATTAGAATGCCTGTGCCTTACAAACTATGCATCCTCACCCATTGTATGATATAGTGTAAAATATTTGAGCTGATTTGATTATGCTTTACGTTACCAGTGAAATGATATTGCCATGCTTAAATCCATTCCATCCCATAAAACATCCTATGTGGGTGTGGCATATGGCCAACATCTGCATTTATTGTCAATGTTTCATGTTCATTTGTGCAATTGTTGTGTAGTTTTATTTCAAGTCCTCATATGAGCAATAGGTTTGTTTGCAAACAGCTGGAAGTGCAGCGCTCTCGACACCATATAGCCAAGGAAAAACCTGAGCGCAAACTTGTCCTCAAATGCTTTGTGTTCTAAGTTCAAGGTGAGATTTGAGAGCTATAACAAAAGACAAGTTTATAAATGAACGACTTCGTGTTTGATCTATTCTATATCTATCACTCCTGTTTCGTTGTCTGGACAGAGCAGGACATTCAGCTAAATATCTTCTTTGGTGATGCATCATCATATTTAACTACAAGTCCATCTGTTTGGTAATGTCCATCTGTTTACTGTTAGACTCCGATCTAATGGCCCCGTCTAGAGGAGCACTTTAGAACTCACAAAAGACATTAAATTACGATTATTATTATTAGTATTAATGTATTAAATTGAGCTCATTTGTTAACATTTAACAAAATGTATTACATGGAATTTTCCAGTAGCTCAGAGCAACTAGTCCGTCTCGGTACGATTTCAGCCCTAGCGGGAAATAACATTTATGATTCATACAGCTTCATTAATATTCATCTATCTTCTACTGGCGGAATCTAACCACCTTTTATTACGTAACATTCACGCCATGCTTTTTTTAGCTGTCAACCACACAGACGCCTGGAAAACATGTAAAGGAAAACAGACTCTAAACTAAACCCTCTGCTCGAGCTGTCATTGGACAAACACCTATCACGTGACTAGGTCATACGTCAAACCGCGGTGTTTTTTACAGTCTATGTGTGGGACATTTGCTTTTTTGAAAACCAAAACAAATCTTTAGAATCTGCTGTTAACTTTCTTATCCTTGTGGCAAAATTCTATTTTAACAAACAAAGGTTTCTTAAGAAAATACCTACTTTTATAGATTTCGTATGTGAAGCAGAACATTTAATTAAATCACTAAGAGTAATTAATAACAAAAAATTTATTTCATTTTTAAAGAGATATGATGAGATCTTTCATGCACCGTGATTAATACTTGTTTTGGTGTTTTTTTTTATTTTTCATTTTTAAATCCTCTTTTCTTTATTTGTTCT